CTTTGGGTAGATAAATATCTCGGCAAAAAATTCCTAGGTCATATAGTGAATAAATGTTTAACTTTGTAAGAAATTGCCCATGTTTTTGAAAGTGGCTATACAATCAAGCATTTCCATCCATCAGTACCTATGAGAACTGTTCTATATCCTCAATAGTTTTTTTTAGCCATTCTAATAGATGTGTACTGATATTTCATTGTGATTTTTAAGTTACCTTTCCCTAATGACTAATGGTTTTGGTTATTGTTTCACATTTTGACTTATTATCTATATATCCCATTTGCTAAAGTGCTTATTGAAATCATTGGGTCACTGTAAAAATTAGATGCTTCTTTCACTGACCTTGGCTATTCTTTATGTTTTGAGTTACCAAAATACAAAGTTAACTAAGATGTCTTCAAAGAACAGAAAGAACTTACTTTTATGGACAGATTTTTTGTGTGTGTCCTATCTGAAAAACCTCTGCCTAACCTATGACCACAAGACCTATGTTTTCTTCTAGAAGTTTTAATAGCTTTACATTTTATATTACAATGCATGGTCCATTTTGTGTCAGATTTACATAATGGTGCAAGGAATTAGTAAAGGCTGTGCTTTGTGCATATGGATATACAGTTGGTCCAGCATTATTTGCTGAAAACTGTCTGTTTTCCATGTAATTACCTAAACATCTGTGTTGAAAATTAATTCACCATAAGCCTGTGGGATTCTTTCTGCATTCTAGTCTAGTCTATGATAGTCTTAATTACTGTGGCTTTAGAGTAATTCTTAACATCAGGTAGTTTGAGTCCTCCAACTATACTCTATTTTTCATAAATGTTGTGGTTAATGTCAACCTTTTCTCTCTTTTTTTGTTTTTTGTTTTTTGTTTTAGGTTAATGCCAACTTTCTGCTTTTCCATATAAATCTGATAGCCACCTTGACTTCTACTAACAGTATACTGGGATTTGGATTCAAAATGGGTACTGAATAAATGCAGCAATTGGACAGAACTGGTATTTCAACAAACTGAACTTTGGGTTTGGTGCTAGGGGTTGAACCCAGGCTTCAGCCAGCTAAGCACATACTCTTCCACTGAACTATAGCTGCCAGCCCCTCGACAAAGTCTCAAATCCATGAGCACAGAGTAATCCTCCACAATGTATTTGGGCCTTCTTTAACCAGCATGGTGGCATTTGCCTGTAATCCTGCTACTCAGAAGGCAAAGGCAGAAGGAAGATGAGTTTGGCGCCAGTCTATGTATGAAACAAGCAGCTCCCATTTCAAGAAATTAAAATAAAATTTTCTTTGATCACTGTTTTACAGTTTTAGGCATCAAACTTTTACAGTTTTATATTTATCCCTAAGTATACCATGTTGTAGTGCTCTTATAAATAGTATAAGCTTTCAATTTCCAACTATGTCACTGTTCACACATACCAAAAAAAAAACTGTCTTCTATATATTGACTCTTTTATCCTTGAAGCAGAAGTGTTTGTTAGCATGTTTGAGGAATGGCAAGGGGACCAAGTTCTGCTAATTTGAAAAATACAATAGGCTAGAAAGCAACACACACTGTTTTTAAGAAATTTGGTACCATATGAAGTCACTTATTCAAAGTATAGTACAGAAGCTTAAAAGTTCATGATTTTCCACTTAAATGAGGTAATTAGGCTAGGAAAATTCTGGCATTTCCTGAAAGAAGTATTTTCAAAGCCTTTTAAAACCAATACTTCCCTGTCACAAAACCAATACCATACTATTATACAAGAACATAATATATTCTGCATTCACCTTTAAATAGAGAAACAAGAAAAGCAATGTGGTGGTACACACCTGTAATCTCAGCACTGGGAGAGCACTGAAAACAGGAGGATCTCTGAGTCCGAGCTGCATAGTGAGACCCTGCACCAAATACAAACATATATATATATATATATATATATATATATATATATACACACACATATACACACACACACACATACATACATAGAAGAACAAGGGGGGAAAACACAGAAATGTGGAGATACAAAGTACCTATTCTTTTAGAAGGCTCTATTACAAACAGAAGAATAGGTTCTCTTTCTTGAAAATACAAAGCATCTCAGGAAAAAAAAAAAAAAGAAAAGAAAAGCATCAGCCTTACTATTTACTATTTAAAAGAAAAGGTTTTCATCTGTGTTGATTTTAAGCTTAGCATATGATGAGAGACACGGGTCTAGTTTATTCTTCAGCAGGTAAAGAGCCAGATTTTCCAGCACCATTTATTGAAGAGGCTGTCTTTCTTCCAGGGAATGTCTGACTCCTTTGTCAAAGATGAGGTGGCTGAGTGTGCCTGGAGTTGTTTCTGCATCTTCTAATCTGTCCCAGTGGTCCTCAGGTCTGCTTTTTGCCAGTGCCTTACTGATTTTAACTTTAGCAGCTCTGCAGCATAATTTCAAGTCAAGGGTTGTGATGTCCCTACCTTGTCTTTGTTGGCCAGAATTGTTTTTGCCATTGTAGGGCTCTTGTGGCTCCAAATGAATTTTAGGGTTGTTTCTCTACAATATATGCTAATAATATTTGGATTGGGATTGTATTAAATCTATGTAAAAGTTTGGGAGTATGGCCACTTTCACTATATTGATTCTTCCTACTCAAGAACAAGAGATATTTTTCAAGGTTGTAATTTTCTTTTCACTGCCTTGTTTTTTGGTAGGGGGAGGGGGCTACCAGGGATCGAACTCTGGACCTTGTGCTTGCCAAGCAGGTGTTTATGCTGCTGAACTATATCCCCGACACCTCAAGATTGTACTTTTCTAAAAACTATCAAATCATAACCAATTTTATCTCATGACTAAAACTGAAAAGCCTAATAATACCAAGTGTTGCTGAGACTGTCAAACAAGTATGCTCTTCTACATGCTGTAGATGGGAGTGGAACTTGGCACACAGTTACATGTTGTAGTTTATTCACCACAAACCTTTCCAATATTCTTCATCTTCAGATTTCTTAACCAAAGGCCCACAACTGAAAGCCATGCCAATAGTGCCTAATGGCATTTTCATTACTATTACCCCAACATCCATCAATGGTTGACCAGTTGTTATTTGAAGAAAACTAAATCATACTATGTACAAAACAGCACTGAACAAAATAATACAGAATTTCAACCCAACTTATTTATAAAACTAACAACTATTTCAGTAAAAGAAACTTCAGCCAAGTGTAGCCAAGCTTCAGCAAGCTTGCAATCCCAACCACAGGGGAGGTTAAGGCAGAACACAAATTCAAAACCAACCAACTTAGTAAGGTCCTGTCTCCAAAGTGAGAAGGGCTAGGGATATAACTCAGTGATACTGGATCCCCAGCTCTGCAAAAAGAAAAGCAGAAAAATGAAAGAAAGATGGGCAAGAGGGAAGGAAGAAATGAAAAGAAAAAAAAAAAAGAAGAAACTCTACAGACATAAGCTTTGAAAATTTCATGGAGTTTTACTACTTAATAGGTATCTTGGTATAACAAATAATATAAAATATACACAATAAGTAAATGACAAGATGGGCAAAAAAGGTGACTATGGAATCATTTCAAGACATCCAACATTTAACTTTTAAAGACTTCCCTATGACAAATTATGAAGAGAATAAACGAGAGTGGCATCTCTGTTTGCAAACTCAATTTTCCCCAAGATTCTGGTCACAAACTACTCTGGAAAAAAAACCCAATCAAATTTTCCCATAAGGTCATCATTGAACCTAAACATTGAATTTGATTTGGTTCTCGTCCAACTCAGTTTGTGACCAAAATCACGGAAAAAATCAGGTTCATAAAGTAACAGACCACTATAATTCAGTATGAACTAATTTAAGAAAGTAGTGATGGTTTCTATCACAAACCACGCTGCTTTTTAAAGAAAGCTCATCTGTTTCACATTTTCTGTTCATTTTACAACTGAACATGGTAAGACAGTGAATGTTAATGTTAATATAAAAGAAAGAATAAAAAAAGAAAAGACAAAAGAAAAACTTACCGGGATTGAAAATTCCTCAGCCAAATACTTCAATAAAGATGCTCCTTTGGCCAAAAATTTGTTCCTTTCTTTCATATTGCCTAGAAGTTGTGTATCAAATTCCTTTCTGACCACAGAAGCAATGGAGTCAATAATCACAATTTTAACTCTTTTTGAAATAATTTCTTCTTCCAAAGATTCAATCCTGTAATAGTACAATTTGTAAAATCATAGAAGACAAATTTCAAATATAATTTTAAAATAGAGCGTTACAAAGGTTAACCAATTTTAAACAATAGCAAATAGTCCTCCCTAAGATACAGTGCTGACTGCAGAAATTTAACTTTCTACAAACTATCAAATCATATCCAATTTTATCTCATGACTAAAACTGAAAAGCCTAATAATACCAAGTGTTGCTGAGACTGTAAAATAACTTATAGATAGATAGATTGCCTTCTTCTGGAAATAGAGCAAAATATTTTCATTTAGTTGCAGAATTCCAAGTTTCTAGGACATTACTAAAGTTTCAATTGTAGAGTGAAACTACTAGTGATAGATCGTCTCCAAAATGGCCTCACTTACCCCACCTTCTAGCATGCCATACCTGTGCCTCTCCCACTCTACAGCAGAGTTGGGCTGTGTGACTAACAAGATGACAAAATGGGGTGCATCATAAAAGATAATGACCTCATCGCTGACCCTCCCTCACCTGCCCACCCTCAGATCCCTTGCTCTAGGTGAAACCAGCTGTCATGCTGTAATCTGATGGAGAAGCCCACTTAGTAAGGAATGGAGGACTTCAGAGTGAGCTTGGACGCACATAGTCCAGCCCAGTTGGGCCTTGGGATGACCATGGCCACAGCCAGCAGCGTAACAACAATCTCTTGAGCAATTTTGAGACAAAAATTCCCAACTAAGTCACTCCCAGATGCTTACCCATCAGAAGTTATGAAAGATCATATATGTTTACTATTTTAAACTTGTAACTATGAGGTAATTTGTTACTAGAACAATAGATATTTGGCATACAACTTAGATCATTACTTGAAACTTTAATTTTTCATTTTTAAAAAAACACAAAAAGATTCAGAAAATCAGGCCAGGGATAGAGCTGAGTGACACAGTGCCTTCCTGGCAAGTGCAAGGTCCTCAATTTGATTCCCATTTCAAAACAAAAAAAAAAAAGTTTCAGCAAATCAAAAGGAAAACTGAAAGAATGACTCTCCATAACCCTAATATACACAGGAGTTTTTTTTATTCGGAAGCTAAAAATATAAAACACAAAAAAATCAGCCTTCAAAGCATTATTTGAATAATAAAGTCTAAAACAACATACCTTTGTAGAACTTCTTCACAGGTAAGTTCTCGGTAAACATAAACTTTGGTACTTGTCAAAAGTAATTTTTCTTCACTGTTAAAATATCTAGGAAAACGGGCTTTTGCTATTTCTATCAGTCTGTGGGGGGAAAATAGCACAAGAAAAAATACTCAATGATAAAATCACATTGCTGAGCCTCTAATGAAGTTTACTCAAGAAACAAAGGCCTAATCAATAGAGCAGATAAACAAAATGGCTTTAAAATACAAGTTTTAAAGGCAAGTTTTCCTCTTTTTTTCCCTCCGTTACAATGCTTTCTTCTTTTTTAACTTTTTTATTCATTTTAATGAGAAAAAAAGATATAGCAATGAAACAGTTTCAAAACAGGTTAGTAAGACAGTTACAATAATTAATACATTGCATATTGTTGTCTTCATAGTACTCAGAAGACAAGATGCAGATATGATATGTCTAAACAATATTAGTACAAATGTTTCTTCTCATTGAACTAAGAAAGAGTAGCCGTATATCTATTAAAATATGGAACGCGTCACGAATTTGCGTGTCATCCTTGCCCAGGAGCCATGCTAATCTTCTCCGTATCATTCCAATTTTAGTATATGTGCAGCTGAAGCGAGCACAACTTTTCCCTTTTAAATAAGAACTAATAGTGTGGCTCGTGGAGTCAGCGTTTGCAGCTGCGAAGGGTTTGGTGAGATGTCTTACACTATTTTGCTGGTGCAGCCTACCAAGAGGCCAGAAGGTAGAACTTTATGCAACGAATCTGTTCATGAATGCATGGAAGGTGTTTGTAAATGCATAAAGAACATCTTAAGAGAACGAACCCCAACAGCCCTTCTATCACATATGATATCAGTCAGTTGTGTGATTTTATTGACGATCTGACAGACCTCAGTTGCCTTGTTCACTGAGCTGATACCCAGACATACCAGCCTTATAACAAAGACTGGATCAAAGAGAAGATCTACGTGCTCCTTTGTCAGCATGCGCAACAGGCTGGCAAATAATGGAGTTGGAAACAGCAGGGGCTGGGGGCGGGGCTTGGAGCAGTGCACTGCCGTGGAGCGCTGTCCTGTGAGCCTCTTTCCACTTGTTTCACTCTAGCCAGGATTGAATGCGTTAGATGAAATGTGACGTGTGAGGATCTTCTCAATCCAAAACCCCCATTGAGCCCTTTTTTTTTTCCTTCTTTTTCTTCTTTTTTTTTTTTAACTTAAACATTTTTATGATTCAGAAGGCAATTGTTCCTTGTCGATATTGGTTCCAGTCCTTCAGATTGTTTCTATCTGCTTTATAACATTCACTGTACTAATCTTTTAAGATGGGGTAGGGGGGGCCGGGGAGATGGCTCAGTGGAATAAGCACTTCCCTAGCAAGTGCAAGGGTCTAAGTTCAATTCCTGGTTCCGCCAAAAAAAAAAAAAAAAAAAAATGGGGTAGGGGATGATGACAAAGTTTAGTTATGTCCTCAAGAAAAAGTCTTAGTGAAAAGTAAATGTTCTTTAGTTTAAAAAAAAAAAAAAAAAAAAAACAACTAGAGGCTTGCAGTCAAAGCATGAGACCAGGAGGAACCTTTGGGTATCACCTCAACCTAGCAAATGTCTCTGAGATTCTTCTGGCAATAAACGTTTGGTGTACTTTTATCTGGCTTCTTCCTTTTTCCCTTGGCCCAAGTTCAGTCTGCAGAATCAGTTTCTCCTTCACTTTTCACTTTTCCTCCCTTACTTCTTTTCCCAAGTAAACTTTCCCACTGCTTTAAAAAAATAAAATAAAATGGAATTGTAGGATACGATAGGAAATAATAAAAAGGCTTTCATTTTCTTGATTGAGCAATGTATCTTTTAGCTGGGCATGGTGGTGAACTCGAGGCTGAGGCAGGAGGATCACTGTGAGTTGGAGGCCAGCATGAGCTGCAAAGTAGGCTCAAGGCCAGCCTGAACTGCAGAGCAAGTCCCTATCTCAAAAAGACCAAAAAAAAAAAAACACCACAAAGATTTTTGAAAATTATAAAAAAAAAAAGCATAGCATGTCATTCTAACAACAAGGTATCAGTAACATCTCCAAGTCTCATTCCAGAAAAATGTACTTTCTCAATTAAAGCTTCACTCACACAAATAAACATTACCAACAGCTCCTTGGGAAAGAGAAAATTATCTAAACAAATCAATGCCATTCTTTCTTAGTAAGTAATAAAGTGATCTAAACACTGAATTCTGTGTCTCAAAGCCATATCTAATCTATGGAACAGAGCAAGCAAAAAAGAATGGCAAGTGAAAGAAACAACTTTACTCCCTAATAAAATAGGACACAGAGACCATTACTAGAAACTACAAATATTTCAGGTTTTTTTGGTTTTTTGTAGGGTTTTTTTGGCGGAACCAGGGATTGAACTCAGGACCTTGAGCTTGTCAGGCAAGCGCTTATCCTACTGAGCTATCTATCTCCCCAGCCCCTTCAGGCTTAAACTTAAAAAATCAATGCAACTCTTTCAGTATAATTGTTTTCCATTTAAAATATTTTATCAGCACTACAATAAACCACCCAATCAGACTACACAAGAGACTGTAGAAACTAAAATCATCCTATATTTTATGTTCCATTTAAAGACACAAAAGTACAAAAGCACAGTGTTTTAATCTCTAAACAGCTGAAGAGTCTGAGAACTTTAAAGATAAAATGAATCACTTCCTACATATGCTATAATCAGAAATGACAAGAAAAATAAAACAGGAAGAGAAAAATAAAACTAGTCAACAGTTTTATTAAAGTAGATTTTGAACAAATTGGGGGGAAAAAACCATAAATAGGTTGAACATGAAGAGGAAAACTACTTCAGGACTAAAAGTTGTATCAAAAGAGGCACAGAGTGAGAGCAAACTGGATGAGACAACCATATAGAAGTGCTGCAAGAGGGGCCGGGGAGATGGCTCAGTGGAATAAGCACTTCGCTGGCAAGCGCAAGGGCCTGAGTTCGATCCCTGGTTCTGCAAAAAAAAAAAAAAAAAGAAGAAGAAGAAGTGCTGCAGGGAGACACAGAGGGATGAGGTGACTTATGGAAGCAGGAGAAAACAGTACTGCCTTGGCAAGGCAGACAAGCTAGCTTTGAGAATTAGGCAGAAATGTGCAAATTCCTCAGGCAGCTATTTCTTTAGTTTAGTGTTAGAGAAACTTTGAAAGAAAAAAAAATTTTTAATAGTATAAGTACAGCTATGAGCAGAAAATTATACTAGAAACAGGGAAGTTTCTTTAACTTTGGATGTGTAGTTGATCAAGAATCAGACTAGGGGGCCGGGAAGATTGCTCAGTAGAATAAGTGCTTCCCTGGCAAGTGGAAGGGCCTAAATTCAATCCCTGGTTCCACAAAAGAAAAAGAATCAGACGGGAAGGATGTCACCCTAATAAAAACCTTTTGTAGATCCAGCCCTAGCTCAGGCCTGTGAGTGTGTGGAAGAGCTTCCAGCTACCCTGCACCCTCAGGACCTCTCCGGTCCAAATCCAGGCACCCAGCGTGAGGGAGACCCTCTTCCGTGCCCTTGGGACCACCACCACCACTCCGCAACCCCCTCCACGCCCGCTGAATAAGTTAGAACTTCTGCCATGTTCTTCGAACCCCCAGATCCAGCGTTAGCCCAGGCCTGGTGAGTGTTGGGAGAGCTTCCGTTCTCCCCTACTCCCCCTTGTCCACTTCAGACTCAGCTCAGGCCTGGCATACAGGCCTGGGGTGAAACACTGCAGACACAGTCCCTGCAGAGAGAGTAGGGGACAGAATCACCCAGCTAGTCCAGGAGCACAACATCTTGCCAGAGTGGCACAACAGGTTCACTCCCAAGGGCTGCAGGAGGAAGGAGCTGAGCACAACAGCCAGACCCAAGCCAGGCACAACTGGATAACTTCAAACTTTGTAGATCTGCATCTGAATTTCAGTAGGTGCTAGGGTTATAACTGCACCAAAGCTCTACAACAAAGGTCAGAAGACAGTGCTATACAAAATGACAAGAAGGAGCAAAATGCAATCTCAGACCCCAAGCCCACTCTTGACAAGTGCAGAGGACACTAACACAGAACAAATTGGAAATCACACAGCTGAAATCAATGAATAAAGAGCTTGTCAAACAAAGAAACAACTGCAGAAAGGTATAGAGGAACTCAGATTGGAAATAAAAAAAGAAATCTCTGAATTAATAGCATCTGAAGTAAAGAATCAAATGCAGAAACATATGGAGGAAACCCAATTCCCACCCAGAACAAG